AAGGCTGGTTTTAACTATGGTAGAGACATGGTTAGTGTGTAAACTCTCTTTTGTTTACTTAAATGAATTTGAAAAAAGTGGTTGAATGAATTTTAGAGGATTTAGAGATAATTTTTTTTATTTATTTGAGTGGATTTTAGAGATAAGTGAAAATAGATTTAAAAATAACATTTTAGAATTATTTGTTTTTAAAATTATACTTTGATGTAAATAATCTAAATCAATTTAAACACAAGCATTAATTTAGATCATTTGTTTTTAAGATTATACTTTGATGTAAATCATTTAAATTTACTTTTAAAAAACTTACTAATTTACATTAAAATTAATAATTATATTTAAAAATCAAATTTTTATTTTAATTAATATTAAAAAAAAGTCATTTATAATAATTTAATTAAAAATTAAAAAATATTTTTTTAAACAAAACTACCGATAAATAGATATTATATGAATAATAATACTTTAACAATATTTTTTATTTTGAATCAATTATAAAATAATATGTAAATAATATTAAAATATCGTTAAAAAAATATTGTTAAATTGTCATTATTCATGGTTATATTTGCCGAGTCACAGGAGACACAGGTGAAAAGAGAGAGAGGCTGTGGATGACGCTAGTCAATGACAATGACCGCTGAAATATTTGCGTAAAACGAACCGCTCCTTAGTATTACAGTATTTGTATCCTTTCTAACTCTTATTATAATCTAAGATTTCTCACAATAATAATTATAGAAATTATAGTAATAAAAAATATTTTTTTTAATTTTAATTTAAATATTCTTATTCATACAATAATAATAATAATATAAATTATTTAATATACGTAATAATTTTCATTAAATTAAATCATATAAATATATATAACTCTTAGTCATAAAATTTTATTTAACTAAAATGGTCACATCACCATAATGAATTCAACAAATGTGGAAGGAAAATAAAATAATATATATATATATATATATATAATTAAATTATTTGAATTAAGAAAAATAAAAATAATGAAAAACTTATAAGTTATTTACTTAGGTGATAGGATGATAAGTTTGTAATATTAATATATTTAAAAAACAATTATTGGAATAAAATTTTAAAAATAATTAATATAAAATATCATTTTTAAAATATTTGTAGAGTTAAAATAAATTTAATCTAAAATAAAATTTTATTATATTTGAAAAAAGTAAAATAGATTTAAACTTTTATTTTTGTAGTAATAAATATTAATTATTTATTAAATAATTTTTGGATGTTAAGAGTATTATTGTGTATGGAAAAATTAAGGTTTAATATCCAATTTTGTCTCCAGTTTGGTTCGGAAATCTCAATTTAGTTACTCGTTAGAAAAGTAATTGTAATGGATCCTTACTTGTAAATTGGTGAGTCAAGTTAGTCCCTTCCGTTAAATATAAGCAAACAGAGTTAATGGGATGATGATGTGGCAGTAGTTAATGGTTAGGTGTCAAAACGCAATTGTGTGCGTGCTTACGTGTTGTTGTCAAAACGCAATTTATCCCCAATTTCTAATAGAACTCAATTTTTGTAACAGCTGCCCTAGCTTTGTTTCTATGTAACAGCTGCCCCCGCCAAACTGGCCACCGCAAAGAGGCCCTCCGCCTGGTCCATGACGTCGCCGGCGACCCCAAGCGCCACCAAGGTCGCAGCTGGCCGCGGCGTCAGATCTTCTCTCTTGCCCCATTTTCGTGCGATAGAGGAGAAGCCCCTTGGGTCTGAGAACGACACCAGTCGTCGCCTGGGCAAGCCCAACCACCATGAGCCACGAGCCAGGACGCCGCCAGTTGCAGCGTCAAGGCCTTCCTCACCCTCCGATTCGGCGCGAGCTCTCTCCCTTCTCCGTCGAACACCGCCTGAGCAAGCCCAGACGTCTCGAACCAGGACGCCGCCAGCACCACAAATCACGACCAAGGTTGCCGCCGGTCGCCGCACCCCAAGCACCGTCTTTCCTGCCAGGAGCGAAATCAGTCGCCGTCAACGAAACTAGCCACTGTTGTCCTCGCCGGAATTTGCTTCCTCATTGGCGCCGTCAGCACCATTCTCCTCCCTCCCCATTCGAGAGTCCTTATCTCAAATGCCAAACGTCTCCAGCAACACCACCGTCGATGTCGAGGACGAAAGCATCTTTCCTTCTTTTTTTTCTCATCCTTTTTTATTTACTGGTTAGTTTGGTATTGATTGATTCGTTTGATGTTTTGTCTACTGGGGTTGGAAACTATGAGTGTGTGTTGAGTGCATATGAGTGTGAGTGTGAGTAGTCACGGCCGTCTTGGAATTAATCTGATGAATGTTGTAGCGTAGAAATGTTGAGGGAGATCTTGTTAGATAGAAAAACTATTTCTGCCTTATGTTTTGCTTTATGAAAATGCGTCTGCTATTCCAATTTGCTTTTATTTGCTTATTTTATGGGTGCTAAAGGGGTATGAAGTGTTGATGTTAGGGAAGTGTATGCCCAACTTAGGGACCCAAACTTCTCTAATTCAACAACACGTAAGTACGCACACAATTACGTTTTGACACCTAACCACTAACTACTGCCAAATTATCATGCCATTAACTCCGTTTGTTTATATTTAACGGAAAGGACTAACTTGAATCACAAATTTAGAAGTAAGGATCCATTACAATTACTTTTCTAACGAGGGACTAAATTGAGATTTCTGAACCAAACTGGGGACAAAATTGGGTATTAAACCAAAAATTAATTATAGTTATGTTATTTATGTTATACAGGATGCATGAAATATTTATTAAATATCAGTGTTTGTAGGATCTCAACTGCTCGGTCATCCGGCTTCATAGGGACTTAACCAAATTTGGTGTCAACCATCCGATCTTTCGGTCTCAATTGCTCGGTCATCCGACCTCACAGGTACATAGCCAAATTTGGCCTCAACCATCCAGCCTTTCGGCTTCAATTGATCGGCCATCCGGCCTCACAAGTACTTAGCCAAATTTTGCCTCAAGTGTTTCGCCATAACTATTCGACCTCAATCGTTTGGCTATACCTTAGCCCCAAAGGAATCTCGGTCGACCTCACCGAAGGTCGGCGACAGTGGATCTTCACTAAAGGAATCTCGGCCGATCTCATCGAAGTTCAACGACCGCGGATCTTCGCTAAAGGAATCCCGGCCGGCCTCACCGACGGTCGACGACCATGGATCTTCACCAAAGGAATCTTGGTCGGTCTCACCGAAGGTCGGCGACCGTGGATCTTAACAAAAGAAATCCCAGCCGGCCTCATCGAAGGTCGGCGATCGTGGATCTTTGCCAAAGAAATCTCGGTTGGCCTCGCCGAATGTTGACGATCATGGATCTTCACCAAACGAATCTTGGCTGACCTCACCGAAGGTCGGTGACCGTGGATCTTCACCAAACAAATCCTGACCGGCCTCACTGAAGGTCGGCTACAGCGGATCTTCACCAAACGAATCTCGATTGACCTCACCGAAGGTCGGCGACCGTGGATCTTCACCAAAAGAATCCCAGCTTGTCTCATCGAAGGATCAATAGCGTATCCAGCTCAGCTGACAAAAGCAAGACCCGTTTTTCCAACCACCCATCGTGATCAACGAACAGAGAGGACAAAAGCAAAAACCAATCGGAGAACCCACCCCTATCAGGAACGTCATGTACAAAATCCCTTCGCAGAATAACATCATGCTCGGGCTTGGGGGGCTTGTGTACCGTACGGTCCTCCACCATGACCGTACGGTCCTCCCACATGGTCGTTTTCTCGTACGGTCCTCCCATGGCCGACCTCCGAGGTTGTCCACCGTCCTCCCAGGACGTCCTCCCATGGTCGTCCACCTAGGTCGTGCCCATTGGTAATGACTCATTAAGCCCATAATGCATATTAAGGTGTGATTGGTCATCATCAGGCCAACGAAAGGTAAAGGTCCATCACCAACTAGTATAAATAAAGTTCTCAGGTATGACTTTAAGATCACGATGCACAATATATGCATTACTTACTAGGCCAACCATTCGGTTACATTATCAATTTGAGCGTCAGAGTGTCTTTGACAGGTACCCGTCCACCCGACTTGGACAAGGAGAAGAAAGAGTGAGCAACATAACTTAGAAGATGGAAGACAACTAGGAAGTTCGTCCGATCTTCAAGACAACTTAAAATGCTTTAAGTAAGAGACTTCAATCCCATACCCGAAATAAGATTAATATTTTAATTAATTTTAAACAGTTGTATCGATGTTTTAATTAAAGACATTTCAAAGATTTGAATTAATATTTCCAATGATTTATATTTACTTTTAGCTACGATTTATCGAGATCCCATAAATTTGGAATGTTACATTTTGAAATAACAATACCTTAAATTTAAAATTTGCAAAATATCAAATTTTAAATTTAATTAATTAATTAAATTTATTTTATTTATTATTTTAATATTTTACTTTTGATTATTTATATTTATAAAAAGTACTAATAAAATATTAAATTATTTCATCAGAAAAGTCATTTTCTAAGAATAAAATGCAAATTTTTATATTTATAGAGGTGAAAATATATATACGGGTACAAAAGGAAATTTCCCTTGAAGTTTTTTTTTTCTTTTATTACCCTCTAAAAATTCCTCTTCATCTTTACTTTTTTATTTTATGAAAAAGACAAAACATTGTTGTATAGAAAATTTTGTTATATTGAAAACAAATGAGAACCAAATACAAATTAAAAATATTTGATTCAGGAGGAATAAGTAGAAGATAAAGAAACTAAATATACATCTAAGAAATAATACAATAAATCCATGTCCATCACTTAAAAAATAGAAAATAAAAATATTTGGTTAAAAAGAAATAAAAAAAAAGAGGCAGATACAGGACTAATGTATTTATTTAAAAATTAAAAGTATGAAAATTATAAAACAGATAAAATAATTTTGGTGTGTCTCTGACAAGGACATAGACACTCTTAATTTTGTTTTGCTAAGTGTATTTTTCTTCAACTGCTTTTTCTTATTCTTTTTCTCCCTCTTATTTGTTTTGCTAAGTGTATTTTTGGCTTGTATCAGCCTCTTGCAATGAGCACTTTCTTCTCTTAATTGAACTCTCCCAGAACAGACTGTAAAAATTAAAAAAAAAAACAGAAAAATAATTAACAAGCTAGACTTGTAAAACTTACATAGAAGAAATTCAAAAAGACACTAAAAAATGTTTGAAATCTAAGTATATAGCAGTTCAAGAAAACCATGAAATATGCATGAACTTACAAAGTCAAGAAGCCTTAAAGCAGCAGTCCGAGTAAATTTTCTAGCAAAAAGGAAGCAAGTTGATGCTTTACCCTTGCTGCTGCACCATTCTCTTCGGTATTCTGTTTCGTAGTATATATTATCTATGTCCTGAAAACAAATAATCAAACGTTTTTTGCACACATTTTCTTTCATGAAAGTAGAGTAAATGCACTTTATATGTTTGTCTCAAACTGAGAAAGATATGTTCATGAGTGAAGCATTTCTGCATTAGCTTTCTTACGATAGTACAGTTCAATGATCATCTTTTCTTCCAGGTGGCTCACACTATTTGTGTTTTATTGCATATTCAGCTCATTACAGTATCAACAACCAGGCACTGGCTTCAATTAGACTCACATAATACCTTTGCTTTATTCACAAAACAAAAGTTTCTTTCATTTCACATTGGTAAAATATTGTCTACTTTAGATAGAGCCCTCATGAATTTGCTTTTTAGTATCATTCTAAAGAGACCTCTTACTAATAGAGATATCTTACGTATATATAAACCTATATCCATTTTTTGTTTTATCTGATGTGAAACTTTGTTTGTATCCTACCAGGTGCATATCTTGATATGTTGTAGTAGGTGATTTATTTAATTGTTTGCATTCATTTTAGCTCCATTAGGAGGTTACCTACCTATCATTAACACCCATGATATCTTCCCAACAAATTAGTGTTATTGTTGAGATAAAAACGTTTGAGAATGTTTTTGGCTGCTAAGGCAAAATCACTGTTTAAGATGCAAGAAAACGATGATCATGGAACGGAAGTAGATTCAAGCAGTGGCAGTAAAGATGAAACCTTAATGAATTTTAGAAGCATAGGCGTAGCGTCTGAGTACTTGTAAGTCACTGGATGCCATCCCCGGCGCTCATGATCCCTGGAGTTGGAAATATCCCAGGCAGTATGTGTCAATGATCTTCGTGTGATTTCTGCTTCAAGGTCCTTTTGCTGCATTTTGGGAAGGCAAACACTCCAATAAGTAAATTGGAACTGACATAGTGATCACAAACATCAATTTCTTTAACCATGTGTGTTTTAGTGTGATGCTTTTTATTCAACTTCAAATAATGCAGCAATGTAAATTTGTAACTAATTCACTTTTTGAAACATCTAAAAACAGTTTCAGAAAATCTCCATTCCAGTTACTCTGTCACTCAAATCATACAAATCCAAGACCCAAAAAAGTATACAAAATTAGTTTCTTCTCAGCATCAGTTTTTTAGCATAATAAATTATGCCATAGCAAGTTGTTGAATTTAAGTGAATCAGATTCATGATAAAAGCCTGTTTCCTAGACAGAAACAGAAAGAGTGCAGATTGGAAAAGAAAAGGATCCTTACAGCCAGTAATGTCTGAACATAATGTTCATCTGGTATGCAATTATGGATCTTGGATGTATCAGCAGGCTTCATGAAGAAGAAATTATAATTAGTTAGTTGTTAGTTCATATAATTTACTAGAACCTAATTGACATCACATATCAGTTCACAATCAAATATTGAATAACTTCATAAGAAGAAAAATGATTTCAATAAAGAAAAAAGTAGACTGATTGAAGCTAATATAGTAAGGAAAAAAAGAACAACTTTAAATAATTATTAAATGCATAATTTCATATAGAGAACTTACAATGTACTGATCCCTCCAAAATTCTGGCAGTGGTTTTTTCTGCATTATTGAATCCATAGGTAAGAAAAACAAAGAAGAAACAGATAAGGGTGTCAGCATTAAGAGACAAGAAATATTAGTGGCTTAAATACTAAAAAGCAGATCCATTAGCACAACATGGATGCAAAGCCAGCAATGAGTTAATAGTTTTAATGATCAAGAATGTGAGGAAACCCTAAAGGGTGTAAAGGAAAACAAAGATGGAATGGAACAGACATAGTCCCTACAACTCTCACTGTTTCACTGTCAAAATTAGCACATTTGCTTAGGCCATTATTGATGTGTAAAACTATCTTTGTATAAGAGTCCAACATTTCAAAAAACGCATGCAATAGCAATCATCAAAGACAGACTGTAATTGACCTTGTCACCCATTACCTTGCAATATTTTTGAAACATTGGAAATACAGTTTCATCTTCCACTACAACCTTGGCATGTTTTCTTGTAAGAACAGCCCACTGCAGAAGAATATATAAAATAAGACAGGAATAAATAAGAAGGTATTATTAGGTGATGCATATCTTTTAGGAATTAAATTATAGCAAACTAAGAGCTACACTAGACCTTTACCTGAGATCCTTTCCTCCAGTTATAGACAGGAATAACAGGATCCATTTTTGGATTATAACGGCCTTCTTTTGTGTCAGCAAAGCTGTTCATATTTTAATGCAAAAAACGGTTAAATTGTGAGCAAATAAATTGCCAAGTTTAACAAAAAGTTTCCCTTTCAGCAAATTTAATCTCTCAAAATTTGTTGTATGAGGAATTGTACTTTTACACCAATAGTGTCACTAACTTCACTCAGTGGTATAATTTAAAAAGAAAATTAGGATTTCAGTTTCAAGTCATACAATGATACAGATTGAAAGAAAAGAAAAAGTGGTAACATTACAAAGCAATGTGCAGAAGCATAAGGCAAGTGTGTAACCTCACCTGTCCACAAAACTAGTTGATGCTGACATGATGTAGTCATAAGTATAGGTGAAGTTGTATAAAGGTATACAGCTGAAAAGAAATCAATCAACTGAAATATAGTAAGGTGCTAGGCTCAAGCATAGAAAAACATCAATGTAATTTATTCTACCAAATAATTAAGCAAACTGAAGAAAACCATACTTTCAAAACTGTGACCTAGTGCTGAGTAGTTATAGTGTAAGTCCAGAAAGTGATATGCAAAGGTATAAGGTCTAAAACTTTATAGCTGTTAACAAATTTATACCCTCACCTATCTGAGAGGAAAACAAAGCGTTCATTTAAAGGATCACTTAGCGCATGTCTAAGTAAAACGCGCTCAGCCTCTATCATGCTTGCTTCTCCCCACTCAATCTGGAAACAGATCCACATGAACTAAATAAGTACCATGAAGCTGATATGCATAACAAAATGGGATTGCAACTTTTTAGCACTATTTTCTGACAAATTTAGACAGCATAGTATAATTGAAAACAATAATTTAAAGTTTACTTTGAGAGAAACAATTTAAGACAGGATATACCTTAGATTTTTCTGACAAAATGAGATTGCAACTTTGTAACAACTATTTTCTGACAAATTACATACAGTTTGGTAAAATTGAATAAAGTAATTCAAATTTCACTTTTAGAGAAACATTTAAAAACAGGAGGTAGACTGAATATTCATTGATACTTGGAAGTTTGTGATAAGAACTATATATATTCAATCAGGTTTACATAAAAACAAAATACACAACCATGATCTGGGTGTACCACAATAAAATCCAATCAAATCAAAATATTCAACATAAATTCTAAATGGCACAGGTAAGAAACTCCAACAAAGAGTAAAGGAAGTCAGTCTTTTAGGATTCAACTGTTAGCCAGCAAGGAAGATATGTTTCCCAGATTTGTTAATTTTTTTTTAAAAAAAAATGCACTCAATTGCTTACATCGTTATTGGGAAAAATCTTTGCAATTGGGAACAATAAGTTTATCTACTTAAAAATCTCACAACAATCATTCTTGTTAGGCATCTGAAACATCAATCATCTCCCGAAAAGAAAAGAATTAAAACTTCTGAACAAGAACATTAAGAAGGATATCTATATATAACTACATCATATCAAGGGGATTTAATTCCATCAAGGGAATTGCTTCTTGTTATCAGACAGAGGACCTTTGTTTCCAGTAATTATTTTTGTCATCTGTTATACTCCCTCTGTTTCTTAACATGTGTAGTTAAGGTATCGCTACACAAACTAATAAAACCATTAACTTTCATAACACAAAAAGAACCGATGTTAAGCATAAGCAAGGGGTAAGTTACACCAAGTGTACTTCCTTATCAATATGAACACCACATAATATATCACACAGGGAGTGGATTTGTAAGCAAAAATATTCTGTTGAAAACAAAAAAGAAGACTAACCTGTACACTATTATTAACTTGCCGATTCAAAAAATAAGATGATTTAGTTGTTACTTTATTGAGAAGAAACCCTGGTCTGCAGTGAACAAAAATTGAGAATTTGCTATCGCCTCCCTGAAGAAATGGCACAAATGTTTCAGTAGGAATTACAGCCCCTTAATATAGTAAAAAAAAGCATTCTATGGAATAAAAACAATGTTGATCACCCATTGCTTTTAAAAACATGAAAATAAAGATCAACAAATTCACATATCCATTATGAACACTTTTAAAAAAGGAGGGTCCAATAGCATCTTAAAATGCAAACTGGCACTGATATTGAAATGTTGGTATGAACAGCAAAATAACCAACACTAATTTTACCAACAGTGCATTCAAGTAACACCAACAGAATACCATGAATAAAGCATCTCCCAATAATTATCAGCTAGCAATTCAAAGTGTCTCAAGCTCTAAATTGGACCAAAATAAATACAGATTCTATTTAATCATTAAGACATTGAACTAACCACAATTGATGTACCTCACTTTAGCCTCTAAACCCCCTATCAATTAAAGACTCTACCCCCTTCACACAAAGATTTGAATTTAAATTCTTTTCACAGTACATTATCAACAAATAAAATACCATCATTTGTGTTATTTTTAAATAGTTATTGTAAAAACCAACATACTCTTTATGGATATGCTATATTGAAAGAAAAAACGGATATAAAGCCACTCAATTTAATTAGGATCTGTTTAACCTCAACAATATATATTTTTATTTTAAGGAGAAGCAAAATAATAAGTTATAAATGTGAGCAAAACTTATTGTTTTCCCAAAATTTGAGATTAACTTATTATGTAATGACAAATATAAAATGATAGCAATTTGTTTCAATCCAAGGCATAAAATGACCATGTAAAAACTCTTTACATTGTTATTATTGACAAAAATAAAGAGAAATATAGAAATAACTAAACGTTGTGATACTAAGCTATAATAATATTGATATCAAATAACTAAACTCATTTGTGCTGCTGTAACTGAAAAATATCAAATATGTCAGCTATAAAATAATGACTAATAAAAGTAGCTGCCTTATTTATTTCCATGATGTAGAGGTCAATAACAACTAAAAGAGAAAAGAAGGTACCCTAAAGAATGCATCCCAAACCATTTCCAAAGGTAGCCTGTTCCGTGCAATGAAGAGAAACGCAATCTTGGGGCCCTGAACCTCAGGCTCAGAAACAAAATGGCGTTGCAATGAAACCAACCCCACAACATGATTGTAACGTGTCTGCATAAACAAGAAACTCCCAAAACAAAACACCACAAAGATCAAAGCAAAAAGCTTCTTCTTCCACCTCTGCTGAATCACCTTACGCTTCATATTCTATCTATCTTCGCCCCCTTTTAGCAGCTAAAACTGACCCACCATTTCAAACTCGTTCAGCAGCAGAATCACATCCTAAAAAACGAAACTTTGACCATCACTTGGATCTTGCAGGACTCAAAGCCAGAAGATCCAGCCAGATCCATGGCAACCCAATAACCACAAAACCCAGAAAGAAAAAATTTGACCAAGCTCGTGAAAAGAGGAAAATACTACACTGACCCAGAAATCAATACAAAGCAACTAACAGTGGTAAAAAAAAAAAGAGTAAGGTGCTTGTGAGGTTATGAGCAAAAAGCTTATAGATTCTCTCTCCAGAGAATTGTTACTTGGAAATGAAACTGAGAAATGAAGAAGATTTAGAGAGTGAGAGAGAGAGTAATGGAGTGTGTGTTAAGACTAAAGAGTGAAAAGTTTGTTGGTTAGTGGTTATTATTAATTTGGGTTTGAAAAAGTGAAGAGTGTCTCCTTGTTCTTGTGTCGTAAAGGTGCTACTTCTTTTTCAAGTTGCGTGTGCATCTGGATAACAGAATACTATGATTGAGATATGAGAGTTCTTTAAAAAAACACACAAAAACCAAAACTCTTTTCTCTGTAATGTTGAAGCCTCTCAGTGTGTTTCTTTTTTTTGGTTATCAAAGAATGCAAGAAACTGAGACACTATTTCAATGCAAGAATGTAAGAAAACACAAACAAAACCAACTCAAGAAGAACCATTTTGCTAATATTGGTTAAGAAATTAATATTAGATTTTCTTTAAATGAATTCAAGATATTACTATACAAACTATTCAATTATAGAGTGCCATGCATAGTCATTTTATATACGTTTATGATAAGTATTGTAATCATATTAACATGATTTCTAATCGATTGTTAGGGTAAAAAATTTATAATACTTTTCTTTACTTTTATTCTTTTAAGTGCTTACTTACTTGGATGTAATAAAAATTTTTACAATATCAATAACTCAGAAATTATTTAAACTATGCTTTTTAAGATAAGTATTATAAATATAGAAAAAAAATGTATATAATTTATAATTCCACGAATATAAAAAAAGGTGCATGTACTTGTATTATTTTTAATGTTTTAATATTAATTTATATTCATATATTTTAAGTACAACACGTGTATTATTATTTTTTGAATAATAATAATACTGATATATTGATTATATTCATGAAAAACTTTTGACTTCAAGACTTCGGACAACCCTAATATAAATACTTGCTTTAATATATAAAAAAATCATTTAATCCTTTAAATCTTATGCCTTGTATAAGTGCATTTTCTAACTTTAATTTAGTCTTAGTTTCTAAACTCTTGTGTTTTAATTAATCCATGAACCATATATTTATTTTAAACATCTAAACTTTATATATATAATGATATTAATTTAATTAAAACTATTTGACTCGTAATATTTTATTACGTGTTCACAAAATGTCAAAAACATTTAGAGTAGGTGTTAGATAGATAGTTACACCACACCAAATGGAGGTTGTTTGTAACCAACCAATGATGACAAATTTGATAAAGTGTGATTCATAAAATATAGTCATTAATAATTTCTATTTAAGACATTATATGTGCACGTGATAACAAAGTAAAACTTATAGTCATCTGTTCACAATTTGTTGTTTTTTTAGATCTCCGGCGTGTCACGAAATTTTTTTATAAGGATTAAATGTTTTATTCTCTGTTTATATAGTAAAAGTTTGATTTTTTTTCAGTTTTATTATTCATTTATTTGTTTATTTGATCTTATTATTAATAAAAAGTTATCATTTCATGTCTTTCAACTTTCTTTGTTTATTTTGTATCTTTAATTCCAAATCAATGACATGTGAGTAATTTGCTTCAACTTTTTATAAAAATTAATTAATTGACTATTATAAGTTGCTCTAATTACAAATATTAACAATTAAAATATATATATTTATATTTTATTTTTAAAAAATAACTTTAACAATTAATGAATCAAATTTAACAATATAAACACATTATTAAAGTTATCCACATATACTATAAGTATTATCAAATTTAATAATTAACTACATTATTTTTATAAAATAATCATTTTAAAATTTAACTATTATCAAACTTTTTATCATCAATTACATAAATAGAGAAAATTGCATGTTGAGAAACCCACTACCTTAAGAGTGATGAGTGATTAGGGTGTTTATTTTTATTATTAAAAAAAAGTCCATTACTTGTTAGGTGTGCTTTATTCTGAATCATTCTGACGAATGTAGATGAATCTCTATCCAATATTTGCCTCATCTCTTCTCATATGTGTGTGATGTTACAACTTACAAGCAAATAAATGCTCTAGCTGTTTGAGCTCTTGCAGCTGTTCTTGAGCTCTTTTCCTAATTATAAACAATTACTTTCAGAGAAGAATGGTGTTCATTGAAGATGATAACACAAAAACTAAGATAATAAAATTCTCAAATTCTCAATTGAATAGCAGTCTGGCTAAGTAATAGTACATGTCAGCATGGATGAAATAAAATGTAAATACACAGTGCCCAGCATGGTAGATGAACAACACCTACATAGAGGTAAGTAGCACTGTTCCAAGCCCAAAGGGATTCCACCCACTTCCAGTAGTCACCAACATTAATACCATAAAAATCTTCAAATGCAACTTTAAGTAAAACAAATGCAACCGGAGGAAACACGACAAATCCTAAAGCAATATTAAAAGAGGCCCTTAGTAAGGTTCTCCAGCTCCTAGCTTGGATATCAAGCTTCAATGGTCTAGCCAATAGACAAATTGGGACAATAAGTAAAGCCCCAATTTCTGCAGTAGCAAAGTTAATGACGGACATGAGAGACAAACCGATGAATGCTGTTGATATAGTTACAGACTTTAAGCTAGCCCACTTGTTTTTCTCGAGTTGAGACGCAGATGCTTCGGCAATTGGACAACCCAATATCAAGTATAAAATCAGCAAACTTAAAATTGATAGAAAACCCCACAATACAAAGTTCATCGTTAGGGTGGTATTGGGGAGTTGACGTAGGAAAAATGGGAGTAAGGAGACAACAACACCCCATAAATGAATGACCAAAACCTTCCTAGCGGAATTCAACCATTCCCATGATTTGTGGCTGCCATCAACTTCTAAGGTGGATGGGTTTTGGGGATTGGAATTACTAGCATTGGCATGGAGATAGGCAGCAACTATCGGAAGTGGTGCGACAAGTAATGCAAATGGAATCATGTAAACTCCAACCGACACAAACTTACCAGGAGATGTCAAGAGATACAAAAAAAATGACTGGTGAAACTTCTCAAGTAGGTTGTTTATTGAGCGTATGACTCCTTCAATTAACCTGCAATACGTACAAAACATTTTGGTTACGGTGATTAAAGATATAGATCTTCCGATTGCGTGCTTTATAATATACCCAACAAAATTTTCTTCACGTTAAAGAACTCAAGAATTTCCCCTGTTTAACAATTTATGAAAAATACTTTTTTGGAGTTTCTTCAACTTTCCCTGCCTATATTTAACAGTTTGTGAAAATACATCATGTTATATCTAACGACAGAAACTCAACCGAGCGTTCAAATAACTATCCAGAACTTTTCTTTCTTTGGTTTCAAAAATAAGGACAAGATGTTCATAACTTTGTACAGTTTCATTACTATAAGTGGCAAAAATAAACAGTACATTGCATATAATTTAAAATGAAAAACATGTCAGACTTACAACAATTTCATCAACAGCAAGCCATTTATTCGATGGTTGATTTTCAAAATAGTTATACAATGCAACTCGCATGTGTGGCACATACCTTCCACCACGAAGTATGAATTCATTACGCCTGTACAGTTTAGTAAGAGAAACTTTTGGTGAAATTTCCAGAGTGATTGCATCAACTTGATAATCACGGAAGGCACCATGAGGGCCGGTGGGAACACCCAAACCCTGAGAGGAATAATATACAGACAAAGGATATTATAAAATGGTCACAGGGAATATTGTAACAAACATATTTTAGACAGGTAAAAACAAAACACCTGGTAATACAATGAACTTGCCAGTGTTGCAGCACCTTCAACATACTCAGAAGCAGGAATACCAAACTTCCATTGGGGATTTAAGCTTCTAGCGATTTTTCCCAAGGATTCAAATATAACACCAAAAGTATTGAGCCACCAGGAGTCAAGCAGAGACCACATCTTCTTCACTTCTATCCGCAATCCTTGTTTATGCACTGCCATATAATTTACAATATTGATAAGATCAAGGTTTGGCATCTGGCCGTTGGTTGCTTCTGCATAAATATTAAGACTGTCTTCATACCGGTCACCTTGCTCAGCAACTTTAATTACAAGAGCTGCTGCCATAGTTCCTGCACGTCTAAAATCACCATTTAACTTTCCATCCAGATAAAGACCCTGTCCAAGTTCATTAAAAGTGCTGCTCTCATTACATGCTTCACTAGTAACTACATCAACTTTGTGGAAAACAGGGGCCTGATATTCTCTTAGCCAAGCAGCCACTGCAGAATATTCTCCATATTGTGAATCAGCCACAAGCCATATGATATCCTTTGCCAGCCAAGTAACACGCGAAAGCAGCGAGAACACAGAGTAAGCAATGCCCAAGGACACAGCCTCACCCAAACCAACTTTGCTTCGATTGTAAGGTGTCACCAATACAATAGCTTCCTTTCCATCCCCACGTGGTGCCCTAATAATTCCAATAGTGTTGACTCCAAACGAAGAACAAGTTCCATTTTTGGAGATTATACCTGAATCAGGACTGGTAAAGAAGTGCAGTGGATGGAACTGACTGAATTGAGGGTAAAACTTGTGGAAAGTAACTTCCGCATCCAAAGCTGACATATACTGAGCAATAAGCTTTTGACTCTCACTGTATTAAAACACAACAAATAAATTATTTCTTCTTTTTCCTTGCGAAGTTGTATAAAGTCTCTTATGATAACACGAAGGAAAGAGTTACATAGGTGAGGCCATGGAAGTGAACTCAAGATCAGTTAGGTCCTTGATGAATTTATTTGCATCTGAGACATGGTGAGTAGAAAGCATGTTGTATGCAGAACCTGCAGAAGAACCAAGTAAACAATAGAATTAGTGAGTAGGAGATGAAAAGGTATGCCGTGTGTTTGGTTGTTTGTTTGCAAGCATTCCAATGTGTGTAGACAGAGAAGTATGTCAGTTAGCACTTCTGGGAAAATTTCTATTTGAGGCTGCACAAATGAAAAAATAAACGAGCAGGCAGTAAATTGAAAATGAAAATGACCTGGCATAAGGGCATTCTCGGAAATGTAGGTATTCTTGGCAAGGACAGGGAGAAGGAGAAGAGCCACCACCCCTGCCAGGAAACAAACCAAGCTGGAAAGAACAGAGTTTTAATTAAATTCAAATCACTCAATGTAATACTAACAACAACAATAATAATAATGTTAACCAGTGTCTTTAGAGCACTGATTAAAAACTCAAAAGCACTATTTA